AAATGTAAATAAAGCTTTGATTAATAACTCCATGAAAATAGTAAACGATTAAAATTATCAAGATAAAACTGATATGTACACAGAATTCTTTTTAATAGTTTTTCGTAAATATTGAACACGTAGATTAATACTTTCGAAAGTTTTTATAATCTAAAATTTTAATTTTGATGAATAAAATCATGACGAGATTTATAACAATATTTGCTTTTACGTTGGCTGACCTGTAATTGATTCACTTGCAGTAGTACCACAACTTCAACCGATATTATTCTAAATTTTTTTTAAATCATATAAGCATACATGTGAAGTATAATCGTGTAACTAATAATAGTCATATAGGTGAAAATAAATACATGTACACGCACTAATGATCAAATCTTCTACATACGCAAAGTGAAAGAGAGAGAGCAAGAGAACGAGAGAGCGAGAGAGAGAGTGAGAGAGCGAGAAAGAGAGAGTGAGAGAGAAAGAGAGAAATAAGTGAAAAAGTGGAAAAGAGAAAAGGAAAGGAAAAAAGAGAGATAGATAAAGATAGAGAACGAGTGAACGGTGTTCCACTGGAGGCGCTGTGCAGTGCCAAAGGACCGCGGTGGCGGTGGTGATTCAGACTTCTTATCAACCTTGAAAAGTTGTAGAGAAAAATAGGGAGAGATTTGTCGACATCAGGCGTCGATTATATGTACGAAATGAGGTGCCATTGATAAGACTTAAAGCGCCGCGTGGTTCCGCCTCCGCCGTGCCCAAACGCGGCACATCACGGACGTGTGGATAAAGCGGCGCCATATATACACGATATACAACCGTATTTTTTCTTTCACGAGTGTGAGAGGACAGAAAAAGGGAGGAGTGATACATTGAGAGAACGAAAAAACAGTAATCGCGACACTGAGGGAGGTGAAGACAGAGAAACAAAAAATAAGGAGAGAGAGAACTAGAGTTCGTAGATCCGACGCGGTGTCTGCACCCGTGCGTGAATCACGCTTTGGAGGTGCCTGTCTGTCCCTTGTCTTCGTGTACACCCCATACTCACGACATTGACCCGTTCGTGGACGCTGTTACTATTTGCAATCGAACAAGACCATTCGCAAGTAGTACCGATTACCTTTTCGAAACTGACACCCACGAGGAGGGGCATTTTTCCTCTGTTTCGTTTCATGTTCTCTACCGGTTATCAAAAGTCTATCTATCTCTGCTCCTGATATAGAACCGATATATGAAATATCGTTTCGAGAAAATTCAAAAAAATCATCTCTTTTTTTATAAGAAAAGTGAATGGATCTTACAATCCCATGTTTTGAACAGACAATTTGGTGGTCTTATCAACATAAAGTATTCTCTATGTACCATGATTTGAACCCTTAATTCTTTCGGATTTGTATAACACACCAATTGAAATAACCAGAGCAGAGGCTAATAGTATTACAACCTTTAAATAAAAGTACAGAAACATAGCAACATAAAATAGATTGGTAACAAAGAAACAGGAGCAAAGACAACATGTCAGATGAAGAGGACAAACCCCCTGCACCTCCTGTGCGACTTACATCAAACAGGTAATTTAATGTTATACCTTATATTATACAGGTAGAAATTTTATAATTTACTTATAATATAAATTTAAAG